AAAAACACGTCATTGAGGTCAGCCAGGTTTCAATGTGTACGAGAGAGAAGCGTGCAACACGTATGTTAGAAAGAGTGCTGCGTGACCTTCCTCGCTATGGGTGCCAGACAACGTGGTGACTACTTCTAGGCGTACTCTTTCTAACATACATGTTTTGCACACTTTTCTCGCCTTTCTCTCTGGTACACATTGCAATTCGGCCCACTTCATCCGTAAATGATTTGCACGGTATACAACATGGCGTTATGCCATTCCTCGATAGGTGGCGTTCACACAGCGAGGGCGCCTGGCATGGATTAGTGACTAGCTAGTACACAAGTTGACATTATACTGATTTTTAATGATATATTGATTTTTTACTTAATGCTCTTGCGGTTGAGGAAAACTGACGACGCCTTGCGCGTGGGCCTCGTGTGGACATAAGAGTCAAGACCGAATAGTATATAATATATATTTATAGCGAAAATTAATGGAGATTTTTTCTGACAATTTCAACCATTTTTTTCCTTAGCTTTTTCATGACATTTCCATTTTAGCAGAAATAAGTTTATAAAGTTTTTATTGCCAATGTGAACAACAAATCAAAGTATCCCTATAAAAAAATACATACTTCAGAGACATCATATAATAACTGCAAAACATACCATCTTTTTGTATAAACAAAATAGGACACATTTAGAGTTCCAAGCCCGTGTCTGTGCGCCGCATGTACGCGAAGGCAGAGGTCCCATTTCCATTTGGGCCGTTTCCAATTAGAAAGTGTGTAATCAGAGGCTACCAACCGCAGGTAGGTACCACCAGTGGAACCACCACACACACACATACGTACGCGATACGCATTGTGCCTTCCGCGCAGTCGGCATAGAAAACAACCGCTAAGCGCTGAATCAAGCGCGAATTGCACACCAAGTGATCCGCCGCGCGAAATTGTAGCATATTGAATCGCGATTTGCAATCATCTGTCATCAACAGCATCCTGAAGTGTAGGACTCACATCCGCTAGTCCCGTTGAACTGAATCTGTTTAAACCGTTGTGGTTGGCCGGTGCTCCAGGAGTGTTATCAATGTGAACTGTGTACGATTATGTGATAATGAACTATACTCCTGGTGAAGTTTGTTGATCGAGAAATTATTGAAGATGTCGTTCTTCAAAGATAATAACTTGGTAAGTCATGCTTTAAAACTTCTGTATTGAGAGCGACGTCTCACATTTACATTTAGTTCGTAACTTACACATACAGAAAGAATTACAACTTTGTAACAAGTTGACTCCATATCCTACCTACATATAGTTATTTTCCTTTTTTATAAAAACAACTTGTACATATGGTCTCAAGATGTAGGTGCTTTCATGTTCTACAACATTCTTTGAATCAGTTCTGTCAGTAGTTCATAGTTTTCTAAATATAGAAAAAAAGTTGTTTTTTCTTTTCATCTTTAACAGTTAATAAAACATATAGATACCTTTGTGCTCAGTTGTAAAATCCGTATATAGGTACATTTTTTTCGAAATCTTAGATATCGTGATCTATATGCCGGTACATGTGCAACATGTATGATCCCCATGAATAACAAACAAATATCTGTTTATTTGTTTACAAAACTTTGATTGATTTGTCGATGGGTAGTATTTGTCGTCACCCTTGGACGATGAGGAATCTTTCTTCTTGAGTTGTGCACTGTGTAAAACTGTTAGTCACATCGAGATCTGACTGGTAAACTGTAAAGTATGTTTGACGGGATGTTGGACTTTAAGTTCGACAATTTCGCTCACTCTGTCATTCTGTGACTGTTTTAGGTCTCCAAAAACCTCGTATACATCGAGTAGTAAAACTCTGTATTTTGGTGAAATTTTATTACTGGTAAGATTGAACGTCTAAAAATCAGTACAGAGACTGTAAACCACAGATCCATGTTAATTTTTGGCGAAATATCGATTCATTTAGAAGATTTCTTGTGTGTATTTATACATTTCTATAGAATTATTTGTCTTTAATATGTTTTAGTGAATCAAGCGTTTTGTGAAAGACGTTCCTTGGATTTACTGTAAACTTTAATCATGGCCAAAGGCCCTCTATATAATAAGTAGAGACTCAGTTGTACCGACTAAATCCCTTTGAAACCATTTTTTTCTACGACACAGAAGAATCTATCCATTGCATGAGTATATTTTGATTGCATTCATCAAACACTGAACGCAAGTCGGAAGTAGCTCTATGCTGTCTTGCATAATACGTCCGTTAGGGACAACAATATGGAAAGGTTAATGTCTCATATCTCAGTAAAATATACCTCCAACTTGTTTGTCACTTGTGCGACACTCCACTTTTAAATTATACAGAGTTATTGATAATTCACCGTATTTCTACGTGACAGAGAACCTAAAATACAATACATTACACCCAATATTACATGTATAGGCCAAAATCAATTGCTTTCGAGACTTTTAAGTTTTTGTGTCTCCAGAACATGGGCATTTGAATTTAAATATTAAAGACTACGTGAGAAATCCCCGAGAGTTCAATTAATTTTGGTAGTTTGTACTTGAATTAGTACATCATAATAAATAATACAAACAACACGCTTTTAAAAACTACCTTTTATTTAGCTGTTAATAAAATGAACTGAACAATTAAAAATATTTTTTTTTGATTGGAAATATTTAAACAATAATAAAGCTTCTTCATCTCAAGGTTTCAAATAAAAGCGTGTACGTTTCGACAGCTGGATGGAAAAAGGAGAAACAGGCTTTTATTTGAAAACTTGAAATGACGGATCTTCATTATTGTTTAAATATTTCCAGTCGGAAGCTAAATAAAAGCTTGTTTTTGAATATGTATTTTTCATGTTATTTGTTGCTTTTCAGTATTCATGATGTGAAAAAACTAGTTTGGTAATTTCTATATAATTTTTATAGATTTCGTTAATAGGACTATAAAACTTCTAACCTTATTTATATTACAAAACTTTGATAAAAAAGTGTAAATCGTATATATTTTTTTGCTTATTACGTTTCCCTCATCAAGCCCTTACATTTGATACTGATGCCTTCAGGTGTGACTATGGTGATTATAAATTGGCATTTTGCGGTGGCCTTCATATCAATCACTTTGCTTATTGTGTTTCCCCCATCATGTCGTTTCATTTGAAACCCATATCCATTTCGCGGCGGCCGCCACCTTGGGTTTAGATTGACGTCACTTCATGTACCGAATGGCGTTACTATGCAAATGATAAATCACCATTTTGTAACATCCGCCATATGGAAGTCAAAATGGCGCCAATTAATTCATTACACACTAACTAACAAACTGGTCAAGTTGAACAAAAGCTTGTATAAAGCACAAAACACCATACACAATAAAATAACTAGTATTTGGAAAAATAAAAAAATATTGTTAAATCGGGAGGCTGTCAAACATGTTTTAACAGAGATCTCTTGAGAACATCATTCTAAAATTCGTTCGCTAGGATTATAGCTATAACAAATCTATACCTACAAAAGTGGTATAATAAGGAAGTCCACAAGACCTAACAATAGTTTCAAAAAAATTAAAAATGCCTCTTTTGGATACGCACCCCCGCAACGTTGAGGCCGCACGTGACATCATCGCAGCATTAATTTGGAGAGAAACTCATGCACACACTGTACTCTGTGGTCTAAAAAACGATGTCTTATTTTCGTACATCACTAGTGACTTTAAAAAAGGCTCTGTTGGTCTGTTTTTTCAACTGGCCTACTATTTTTTAAATATTCCTAATCAACGGGCTTAATGTACTTAGATGTTTTTGTTGTTCGTTTATATAAAATAAGTAGTACATCTGGTACTCTTTTTATTAAATGTAGTGTGCTCCCACCGTACTACTCGGCTCTCAGAAACTGTTTTCTTCACAAAAACTAAGAGGTAACATTTAACCAAAGGTAAACAAAAACAAAGATAAAACGTTGGCATTGTTGCCACAGCATGCTTTAAATATAGTCATTATGTTGACAAGTTGAAGAAATTATTTTTTCTGGGTGTAATATTTCTAATGTCACTAATTAAACATAAACATGTTTGCTATAAGCATTCTTTCTTGCGATGAAAAGGTAATAAATCTTGCTCGGTTCTTTCCTTGTACGTCCAGTTTCAAACCAAAAAGTTAAAACGCAAAATATAAAATCAAAGAATTAAACGCCATATGTAAACGAGGATGGACGTAAAAACTGTTGGTAATGAAATTTTATGAACGGAAATGAGCAGTGAGTTTCATCAAACATGCGGTGTTGTCTTAATCATTGATTACGTAATCACGGTTTATAATGAAAATGGTAGGAATGGGCAATGAGTCTAGTTTTTCAATCGCTGGTTAATTTTCAAGTTTGATTACTATACGATTGAGAGTCTGAGCTATCAAGGTGCAGTGTCATGCGGGCGCAAAATCCTCAACCAAAGACGGATCCAGAGGGTCATGACCCCCTTACCGGGAGGATCGAGACCGACCACCACTGAGTGATCCCCTCTAGACAGCTACCTAAACCCACAACTGTGACTTGTTTTCAATTCATGTGGGGGAGGGCGCATGTTTCATCCTTTGCCTCAGGGCGCGAAAAACTCTGAAGCTGGCCCTGTTTGCGCGTTCCGTGACGCTCGACATTTGTGTCTCGTGTCATCCGCGACAAGCTAGCTAACATCTAAAACGTTCTTGTAGAAGTTAACTAACTTTGGAAAAAGTTATTACTGAAAAATGGGTTTTGAGGGTTACATTCTGATTAGCAATAAAATCACAGTCAATCAATCAATCAATAACCTTTATTTCCATACAGACAACGTATATAATTGTATTGGAATTGTCAATTTTTCGTTCGCTACAAACCTACAACTAATCTCGAATTGCAATGTTCAAAAATTCATCAACACGATAAAAGCACTTGTTTATCAAAAATTGCTTCAACTGGAACTTGTAGTCGTTAATATTTTTAACCGAGGTAATGTGGCATGGTAAATTATTAAAAAGAAGCAGACCAATTTTATTAGGTTATTGAAATGCCACTTTTGATTTGCTGAAGTTTACATATATATTTTTAAAAACATGTAAGTACAATTCATATATATATATAAAACGAAGGGATTAAAATGTTGAAACTTATAAAATATTTTTTGCAACTTTCTGTTGGTGAGATGCCTGCTAATGATTGGATGCATCTTTTTTGAGACACAAATACATCTTCAGAGCGCGTTGACCAACCCCAGAAACATATTCCATATCTTAATCTCGAATCCACATTAGCAAAATAAACTTGTATCAATTGTTCAGCTTTTAAGGGTTAGTCTGCACTGGGCCTATATGTACATAAGAGATCTACCCTGAAAGCCAAATACCACTGTAATGTTATGTGTACGAGAGCGAAGCGCGAGAAGCGTGCAATACGTGTCTTAGAAAGAGATGTAAGCACCTCGTTGCCTAGCAACCCGACTGGCGAGGCCACGGCGCACTCTTCCGAAACATACATATTCGACGCTTCTCGCGCTCCTCTCTCATACCCATTACGACGTCAGCCATATTTGAACCTCACCGTATAGTAGGCACATCAGCAATACTTCCTATCAATTAATACAAAATTTTCATTGACAGTATTATACAAAAAGTGTTTCCAAATAAAAACAGTTAACAGTAAATTTTTTGAAGATCGCCCTTGTAGACTAATAAGAACTAGTTCAATCATTCCAATTGCGCTGTTCGATTTGCTTGATCTACTGGCGTAATAATAATTATTTTACGTTAAGAAATTCGAGACTGAACTCACCTTATTTATTGAAATGCCCAACAAAGCATGACCGTGTTCCGATAGATAATAGAAAGTTCATATTTCTAATAATAAAATAGATCAGTGATGGATTGTGTGCACAATACCTGGGATGATTTAATATTTTTTATTTAAATTATTCAATTCACAGATTTTTAAACATCCCACACGTGGTATCGCCTTCATCAACGGTTACTAAAGCGACCATTTGTGATGTTTAAGATATATTTCCAATCTAACGAGTTTCAAGCGCATGTTTAGCGGCATGGGCCTGGCAGATTTTCATCCATTTCTGCAAATTTTGTCCGTACAAAAGTGCCGGGCACATCTATGGGCGCTCACAGGGATTCTTCTCAAAGTTTACTTGCCCTCAAAAA